GCGACGATTCGTTCGAATCTAGATCGTATCGAGCGAAAGGGGAAAGAAGGAGGGCAACGGGTGGTTTACAAGGCCACCCACGGCTGCGGCTCGTTCGGCTAGCTAGAAGATTCGGGGCATGGCGGCTATTAACCCAGAAGCGGGTACATCAAGGGGGGCGTCGCAGGGGCGCCCCGGTTGACGGGCTAGTGGTTCAGGGGGGATAGCTCCTTCCCTGGACTGGTGGCGTAGTGGCTGCGACGGCGGCTATCGGCTAGGCGGTGATCAGGGCAGTCGCGTACGCGCTTACCAATCTCAAACCGATCGCGAAAGCTACGGGGGATGAGGCGATCAAGTGGGTATAGTCAATGACAAATCGGATATAAGAAAATTCAAATTTATTAATCAAAAGAATTTCCCAGGTCAACCCAGTGATCTATCCGTTGCTATGGTCAGCCTGGTCTAGGCTACCGGGGACGCGAGTGGCGTACTACGACGCGAGTCGATCTAGGCGGGCAGTGATTCGGTTGAACACTTCGGATTTCGGATACAATTACGCGTCGTCGGTTTGTTTACCCGCGACGCAGATTCTAGTTCGTTCAAACAAATGCGCTCAGGAATTCGGTCGGTCACACGAAGGTTAGCTACGGTTCGGTGTTGACGGTACTCTATAGTAACGAGCGCGGGCAAAATAAAGGCGACAATGTATCCGAGTTCTACCGGTCGAACGAGGGTCCAATACGACTCGTGTAACGTTTAGGTCGACTCGGAAAGGAATTCAAAGACGCACACTCTAAGGAAAATTCGTTTCTCGGATGACAACAGAACGGCGACGTACAAAACTATGTTCGAAAGGTCGGTGGCAAAAACATGCGCGGCAACGGCAACGGGTGCGCGAAGGTCATACGGCATACCCGTGCGCGGACATTCTGCGATTATGCGACAATTTCAACGCAGGGCAGTGAAACGACGTAACAAAGAAAAAAAGCTCGGAGAAAACAGCAAACATAAGTGATCTCGGGACGTAATGCGCGCGAAGGTCATGCGGCACTCCCGAAAACACGAGCGTTCAGTAAAGAAAGGTACTCACTCTTGCTAATTTTCCGGCCGATCACTATTGCGGCTACGGTCGTTAAGGCCGTTATAGCGGCCGCTACTATAATCGCCGTTATTGATGTGGCCACTGCTCCACTACTTTATTTGTTATCGCTGTTTGTTGTTATCGTTATTTGTTATCGTTATTCGTTATCGTTATTCTCCTCACTATTTCCTCTGTTATTTTCACTTTCACTATTCTCTTTCTACGCCTATTTCTTTCACTATTCTCATTCTATGCTTTTCTCTCACTATTTCTTCTGCTGTTTTCACTTTCACTATTCTCTTTCTATGCCTATTTCTTTCACTATTCTCTTTCTATGCTTTTCTCTCACTATTCCCTTTCTATGCTTTTCTCTCACTATTCCTTCTGCTGTTTTCTATCCTGCACTTTATCTATCTTCTCTCGGGTACCGCGCAACAGCGAGGCTCGGCGGACTACTTGCCGTCGAGGCTTATCGGTTACCACTGGCGCGCCGTTTTTCGGCGACGCGCCGCTTCTCCTAGCATACTTCCCCTTTGTATTTGTTGATTGGTTAGCTTGTTGCTAAGCCAGGTCTCAGCGCCGTCTATATTAATGTTTTTTACCCGCGCAATTTATTTATTGGTCCGTTCTTCGCGCCTAATTTGCCTACTGGTCGCGAAGATAGCGTCGGTTTTCTCTCATAAGTCCAACCACCCCTAAGCCGATAACGATTGGCCGGTCAGATAGCGTCGCTTGTCTATCCTCTGCTATCCACCGCTCGTTGGTCTTACCGATTCCCCTCGCTCGCTTCCGATCGATCTAGCATCGGCGGTCTCGCTCGCTCTCACGCGCTCGGTCGCTCCTACTTCTAGTCTAGCTAGGCCTGCCTTAACTAACGGGGGCTTGCGATCAGCTGATCGCGGCTGGAAACTTTAGGGGCTTCTAGCTCCCCCGGGGGGGGGGGGGTCGGATCGGGTCGTGAGTGCGCGAGGGGTTGTACGCGAGCGTAAGGGTCGTGCGAATCGGTCAGGGAGGTTTCTAGAGGTCATAGTTCGCGAGATCCGGGAGTGCGTGGGCGGGTGTATGCGGTCGTGGCTGTTCTGCCGCAGTGCCGGAAATATTTTGTGTGATGACGCATCATCACAAACGTCTTCTTCATTGCCATTAACAATCTTGTGTAATCGAACTTGCAGTTGTGCGCTGCTAAAACGCATTTCGTTTTGAATAAATATAAAAATCATAGAAAGCAACCATTGCATCTAATAAAGATAATGTTTCAAGAATACGTCCGTGATGCATTAATTGTCCATTCGCCCAAGTTAAACCTGTTATTGCACTTGCTTCATCATTTATTTTTGTGCTTGGTTTGATGTATACTGAAAATGTGTAATTTTCAAATTTAGCAGCTATTTGCAATATATCTGACGTTTTATTCAAACCTCCAGTCTCCAAGTCAAAATAAACAATCACAGGTTGTGAACTTTCATCGAAATTCGCAATAGGTAGTGACCGTTCTAAATGCAGAAAATTCATATCTGTTTGGTAAGTAGCACCTTCCGAAAATTCTTTTTTATTTCTCAGCTCTGTTTTTCGTTTTTTTAAAAATAACCTACGTTTTTTAAAATTACGAGTTAACGATTTTTCATATCTTTTTTTGGCATTCACATCACTAGTACGGGTAAACTTTTGCGTGTATTTTCCTGGAGAAAGTGATAACTTTTTATATACATCAAGAATATATTCTTCTCCGCAATTTTTTTTAACAACTGCACAGGCTGTTCTAAAATCTCCAGCAGAACAGGTCCCGTACAGTCTACTTTTTGGAGCTTTGCTGGCAATCATTCCATTCAAATTCTCGTTGGGATTACTCGATGTTCCTGCTGCAAATGAACTTGCTTTATTTGCCAACGTATCGAAAATAGATGTTAAATCATTGAATAAATTGAGATCTGTAAAACCATCCTTGATAACTAAATGTCTATATGTATCTGGTTCCTTCAGATAACCACACCAAGATCCGCATTTTTGATGGTTGTTGAAACAATGATTTGGTATATTGTTGATAGCAGCCGACATACTTATTACATTACCAGCATTTTGAGCAACACAATAATTAAAACATTTCTGTAAATATTTTATTGCAATAGCAGTAAGTTCCTTGTGTTTTTTATTAATTTTGTACAATTCGTTTACAAGTCCCTTACTGGTATGATTTTTATCAGATTGTTTAACAACCTCAAAGGAACAACGCACAGCACTGATAGAGCTACTATCGTTGTCTGCAATTAGTATTCCTACTTGTATTTTTAATGTTTTAAAAATATCATTGTATTCCGTCAGTTGGACTGCAGCGTAAGGCTCCATAGCCTTAGCAGATCCCTCGAAGTTTAACCGGCAATCGTGATCATTACGATCATGCCCCTTATCACACATTTTACATTTCCTGTTTAGTGAAATGTATGACAAAACTTTTTTCGAAAAATAGCCTACTAATGCTCCTGTACCAGTAAGACTATCATATGTCCTACCGGTACCCCTTGTCGTCCAACCCATATCATATGATGCTGCTATGCGTACAGTGCTGTTCTCTGGAATGTGTTCATACTCACATAACTCGTTTTCATCCGGAAAAATAAAGTTCTTATTTAGATGAGGTGGTCTGGAATGAAAAGAGGATAAAAAAAGAATGCACAGTGTTCATTGATTTTGTTTATTTTCTTTCTAAAAATCATAATTCATCATATTATTGCAAATATTACAATTGATCATTAATTTATAAAATTATTGAGTATAAATTAAAATGTATACAATGTACAATTTTCTATTCATTATTAAAGAGGACCTCTATGCTGAATTTCAATAATAATAAAATGAACAACATTTGTAGAAATAGTTAATCATAACGATTAAGAAAAAAATTCAGTAAAATAAAAAATATATATATAAAAAATAGTTTGACATAACATATATAATACAATATCTTTGAACACACTTTTCAATGAGTTGTAAACTTCTTCATTGTATGGTGTCGAATGAAAAAAATCTGATTTTTGATGTAAATATCAAATTGATTCGAGTACTATTTACAAAAATAAAAGGCTATACATAGATATCCTCTTCCCAATTCAAAATTGATAAACTAAAAAATTTCATAACACTGCTTACAATAACACATTCATTTTTTCCTGATGTAGTATTGTTTGTTGTCTTTCTTCGAGAGCTGCTTCTTCACAACTTGTATGCGCTGCAGTCTCTATTGCTACGCCAACTTCTCTCTCGTGTACTTTAAAAGTATTCCAATTCATCGGAGGAATGTTCATACCACTCAGAATTTTATTTAAATGAGTATTGCCATTACCTGCATTGAGAACACCTAAAAAGAATATAAATAATCAATAAAATACTATTTGTAAAAATCTTAATACAAATCTTAATGCTTGTTGACATAAATCTATTTACCTGCTACAATTTTTGTGTTTACATCATAATGCTTGTTTTTTTTGAAAGGATGTTCTTTATCAGTAGATACGAGGGAGAGTTTTTTACAATTACAACATTTCACATAGAAATTTGACGCTAAACCATATCTAATTTCTTTCTCAGCATCTTGCAAAGATAAAATAGAGTTGCAGTTTTGACAAAATAGTTGATCAGCCAGAGTTTGTAAATGTACAATTCGACGTCCTTCAATTTGTTTGCCTTCAGTAATCTTTGTATACTCTTCGAGATCGGTTTTGAGGTTATGCATCCCTTTTTTCGAACCATAGATGTTCCTAATGTTCGCTGCTAACTTTTTGCTCTGCATTCTCTTCTTCCATACTTTCTCTGTCACTCTTCTTCCTTTCCAATAAAATCTTTTTCCTTTGGCGTTAACACTGCACTCTTCGTATGGCATTTTTGGCACTCCAAGACATCAAATAACGCGAGTCGCGCGAATAAATAAACGCGCTCAAGCAGAAGTCTAAGATGCGACGTTGACAGATTTACAAAATACGCTAGTCAAATTCACAACTATTTGGCTTTGACTCTCGTAGTGCGATAGAACTACCTTAAGTAGAAGACCTTCTTTCGATTGAGTTGTAATATTTGATGATGAATCGTTAAACATAGGAACAGGAAGACTAAATGTTTTGTGTACTGTTTTTCCTTTAGGAAGTAATACTGCCGCAATACCAGTGAAAGCCATTGAAGATACTTTAATATTTTTTGAGCACAATAAGTTGTAAATAGTTGTATAAATAAACGTTTTTCCAGACCCCCCTGGTCCATTAATATATAAACAATTATTTTCGTGATTATCAGTATTAATAACTTTATCCAAAATAACATCAACAATTTCTTTTTGTTGCTCATTTAATAGCTTATATTGTTTTTCGCCAATTTCTGCAAATTCTGTTTGTAATAATTCATTATCATTTTCTGATAATTTATGAGTAATTACTGTCTGATCCATGGACGGAAAATCAGATAAACTTTTACCTTCATAATTTAATAAATTATTTATCTCAGCATATGCCATTTGATAGCTTATAGCAGTAGTATGTGTCCGTGAAAAATCTTCAGATAATGCATCTTTGAATTTATTCCATAATTCTTCCGGATGTATTGGCTGACAGTGTATTAGGATTCGTGTAAATAATTGTCGAAGTCGGCGTGGCATCATCCATATTGTTGCTTCTTCCATTGCTTTGGCCCATTCTTGATCGTCTTCTATAAGTCCGAGTTCTAAGCAAGCTGCTATAAACGTAGGTTGTAGTATGCCATTAACAGTTTTTAACGCATCAAAGCTTGTAGCTCCTCTTACATGCAATAATAACAATCGTAAGTGGAATAATTCTACTTGTGTAGGACTGACAGAAAACATTCGACCAATACAGTTAAAATGTTTTTTACGTGTTGTCCATTCCGATACCATAATTCCGTTGATTTTTTGTTTTTTATAAGCAAAAAACGATGGAATATCGTTGTATAAATATTTACGTGCATTTTCATTTTCAATGTTTAATTTAAAATAATCAAGTAATTTACTACTTGCTTGATTCAAATTTTGTACAATATCATTTGTATCACTGGAAATTATTACGCACTGTCGATTTGGTAAATGAACTGGTAATCGTTCTATAGAGTGACTTTTGTCTTGTAATGGTTTGCTGAAAATTCGATAACATGCTTCAACCGGACCGACATATCGAGTTTCTATAAAATCAGTTATCTCATCATGATTGATATAAGTTTTAGATGCATTCTCATGGTTGCCAATAGTTACAGTTGCTGCATCAAGTCCTTTATAAATATATTTATACAAATATTTAACAGCTCGTACACTTGAAACAATTTCTACATTTATATGACAGTTAAATATTTTCAACAATTGTCGACTGTGTGGTACAATCCATCGATTATCAATGACATGACCATTAGATAATTCATGAGTAACGCCATTATCTTTTCTTTGATAATGAGGATAGCCGTTTTCGTCCATAGTTGTATCGTTGTGAAAATTTTTCGGGAATTTTTTTGAACATTTATTGTTTACCATACACCAGTCACCACAAGGACCATGAGTCATGTTTTTTACAACGATGTCATATAAAATAGGATCCAGTTCTTTATCAGGAAGTTCAGCTGATATAAATTTGTTAACAATTTCAGGTGTAATTATTTTATAAGCATGCTTTAAAGTTACTAATAAGTGCATATGTGGTAGACCACGCTTTTGAAATTCAATAACATAAACATAAGACGCACTTTCTCCAAAGAAATTGCTTTTTGCGACTATATCAAGTAAACGATTTTTTTTCAAATGAAATACACGAGCTACAATGTCGGGTCTATCACATGCTTGTTGACCTGATAAAAGATTTTCTTGAATCTCCTTCCACTTAGGATTGCAAGTCATTGTAAGAAAAATGTCTGGTTTACCAGTTTTTCTGACTAAAGCCATTGCATCGCAGAATTTTGCAAATAATCATGTAATCCTTGATACGTATCTGCTTTAATTTCTCTTTGATGATCTTTGCACCATTGGATTCTGTCTTTTTTGATTTTAACATAAGAATCTACTACCCACTGTTGAAATAATCGACGACCTAACAAAATAGCGTTAAATACATTTCGTCTTACAGCAATTTTGAACTTAGTATAGGCCAATCGTGTTACTCTACGACTTGGATCATCATTATTCATTTTAATACGTTCTAAATTTCGATGCCACCCTCGCGATCCATAAGGATAAAATAATGGATAAATCCAAGGTTCTACGTTTGGATCCATACTACTAACGCATTGCAATTCTTTTGTGTGTTTATTTCGAATAGTTACGTAAGACTCTGGGATTTCACCGTCAGCTGTTGTTGAAAAAATAGCAGCAACTTCATTTATCCGCTGTGAATTAAATCTTCTCCTATCAAAACCTGGTTTCAAAGAAAATAATAATTGTAATTCAGGTTCATTCTCCCCATTCATCTGTAACCGGTGATCATTTATTTCTTGTTTCATCATTGCGTAAGATTTCGCAAAAATATTATTTTTTCTTATTATTTCATCTAACATTGCAAGTGTTGTTTGATTAAGTTGAGGATTTTGAGTTCTTCTAACATCAAGAGCTTGTTCTTGGTCAAGAAAAAAGAGTTGTCCATACGTAGGACTTTCATTGTCAGAAGGATACAAAGCAGTATTAATTTGATAATATATTTGTCCATGAATTTTAAAACAATATGGTCCAGGACGACGTGATTGAAAATTAACTAAGTTAGCATTAAAAGAAGCGAAGTAAAGCGAATTATTATAATAGCGAATATTTTCAAAGAAGTTACTTGATTGGGAATGAGTTCCATCAAATAATGTTTCAAGTTCTCGTGGAAAATCTGGCGTGCTCTCTAAAGTCACGGCCCCATGAGAGCAACAATCATTGAAAGATAAACCTTTATTTGCTACTTTTTTAGAAATAAAATGTTCAGCTTTGCAATTTGAATATAAAGTATCCATTTTTCCTAAGTAATCTTCTACTACAGAATTTTGTTGTTCATTATTTGTTGAATTATTATCACGTACAGAATTTACTTGTTCATTGTTTGATTTATCACGTGCAGCTTGACGTCTAATTCTTTGATTTTCCGAAATTCTCAAACGTTTTTGCACTTGATAAGATTGCTCATCTTCTGGAGTATGCATTATTTTTCTTCTACCCATTTTTCAAATGAAATAAAAACAAAATTTCTTTGATTACATAAAACAAATACTATGAATATTTGATTGTTTAATAATTATTTTATACTATAAATAATTATATTATAAATAACAACATAAAATGTTCGATTTGGAATAAGTAAATGCCTAGTTTATTTTATTATAAGCAAAAGTTCGTTTGTTGGTTAATTAGTTAAATATCAGTAAAGTTCATTTGATTTTTTGTCAGTACAGTAAAAAATGCTTGGTTTATTAGTAAAGGCTTGGATTATTTCAAAGTTCAGTATTTAGTTAGATAGATATGTTGAAGTTGTGATTAGATTTTAGTTAGGTTACGATTCTGGTCAATTTTGATCGAATTTCGTTGTAAATTCTATTTTCGTTTATAGTTAAATTTTCATGTTATAATTTATATTTTCTTTAATTTTTCTGGAACATGCTTTTTCTTTTGTAAAAAATCCAACTTCTCTAAAATAATGCTTGCAGTAAATAAAAAGTAAAGAAATAATAGTTAAGACAGTAACTATTTTAAGTTCATTTATTATTTCACTTTGCAATAACAAATAACATTAATTGATATAAAAATAGATATAATTATGTAGGAAGTCAACAGCGATGGTAGTACAGGTACCTGAAAATAAAAAAAAATATTATATGTATTACATATATTACATATTTGAGGTGGCTTGGGCGGTTGATGCCTTACATAGCGCGGGGTGCCATAGGGACACTCATGAAATAAACGTTTATCGAAAATTATTTTATAACGTTATTATCAATTTTGTGACATTTCCCATAAAGATACGTGTTAAATTTGCGATTTTTTGAAAGTGATTTGTTCCTAAACGAACTTGTCAACCATAGTATTTCTTAATTGCAAAATAAATCTACTTTATGTACATAATATCTAAATTTCAGAGTATTTTATCGTTCCAGTAAAATTCGCTCAAGCCCCTTACAGAAAATATCAAAGATTTGTTGTATACTATTATAAACAGATCTTTTAAAGCATTATTGACTACTCTAATATCAAAATTTGTTTAAATTTTCTACTGATAAAAATTCTTTATATTTGGTTATAGTCAAGTTGTATAATATTGTTGCATATCAAATGCAATAGTAATATAACATAAAACAACTGTGTCAAAAATCACAATTATAAAAACGTATGAGCTGACATCAATCAGTATTTGAGCTATAGTTGCAATTTAATAGCATTTAACCCATACTATTGATTATTAATGAGTCATTAATGTGTTTACTTTCCAAGCATGCACTTGGAAAAACGTTTCACATTATCATTACATTTATTATAAACAGTTCTCTTTATCAAATAAGAAAGTAAATGTGAAATATACCTTTGAGGAAGTAAGATTTCATAAAGCGCTTGTGCAATAAACTGCTCAACCAGATGCGAATGCTGATTGTTGTTCACTATATTTACATCTAGCCATTAAAAATCTAAATCCAGTTTTAGTTCTGCAAAAAAATTACCATTCAGTAATAATTATTCTTGAGATTAATGCATGTCTCTTTACCAAATAATATTTGTATGTTACATATAATCACAATCATGAAAACAGAAGATGAGCTTATATCAATCAGGGTTTGAAATAGTTGCAATTTGATGGCATTGTATCCATACAATTAACGATTAATTATCTTTTAACATCATAGTAAGATATGGAATTATGTAAATGAATATACGTTGTTATCTACGGTATAAACATAAATGTAATACTGAACGTATTTCATTTCTATCAAATAAGGTTATAATTTTGTTTTAGTACTAATATTAATTTTCTTATACAATATACTTACAGTTTTCAGTTCTATAATATATCATTAATTAAATCCAAAGCAATGATATATTTCTTGAGAATGAAGATAGTGTAGATTAATAATATCGAAATCACAATATTAAAACACGAAACTCACTTTTCAACTAAAAAAACTTAGTGGTCAATTGACATGAAAAAATGTAGTCAATCGCTATGAGATTTTGCGCATGCGTTCTGTGATTGACATGTATTGACATATTATATTAATGAAATAATGAATATTAATGAAATAAAAGATTTATAGATAGAGATGATTAATGTTCTATCTAATAATATCTTATTAATTTTCTACCGTATTTACATTGATACAAACTTTTCTCGCGTATCAATCATATGTCCATTTGTCTTATATGTAAGGAACATTATTATGTTACAATTAAAATTATAAAACAGTGTTATTTGCGTAAATTTAATTTATTAATTTATTGAAATCATGGTAAAGGGTTCATTTTTTATTTAAAAAAATACAAAATTGACATACACAAGTTGGTTTAATTTAAAATATCAACTAAAGAAATATTCATTAATTATAGTCACGTAAAACTATCAATACTTATCTAAATTTTATGTTATCAATTAGTAACTACACTAATCAGTCAATTCAAATTATTAATGGTAATATTTCTTGTAATTGATATTTACAAATTGTACATAATTTTTGATATTATTATACAGCTCAATAAATAATTTATTTTATCAGCTATATATAAATATTATAAATATTATTTTCTTATTGTTAAATATTCAATAATCAACGATTATAAATACCAAAATACACGAACGTGTTTATTACTTGCAATAATCAAAGATCATGCCAAACTACAATAAATACTTAATTTAAAATCACATTGTAAAATACTTCATTTAAAATCACAAAGTAAATCATGAAATGTTTCAAGTTAAAAAAATGAAAATTACATAATAAAATACGTAAGATAAAAGAACATATTTTTTGAATGAACTTTGAATTTTTTTTATTACACTGAAAAAAACATAGTTTTTTTAATGAACTCTGAATTTTTTTTTTATTAAACTACAAAAACTAAACAAACTTTTTTAAATCTTAAGACAACTTTACTTTACTTTACTTTTATTATGCCAGAGTTTTTCTTTTGGGAAATTTGATGCCTTTCATTAACTCTGTATGAGACATCGCAGCAGATTTGTCATCCAGAACGATAGATGAGATTTCTTTACATTGAATTGTCGCCAACCCATCTAAAACATTTAAAAATACACACTTTACTATTACAAAAATTATAATTTATAATTGAATATTTACATATATATTTTACATGCCTGTATTAGTGAATACTCCAGTAACCGTTATTCTTGCTCCTAGTTTATAATCTAATGGGGTATAATTTGTTATGTCGATATTGATTTTTAAGTTGCCATTTGTAATTGCCGCACTCCCATAGCTCATATTACCAAACCGACTTTCAATTACTCGGAAAGTTTGTTTCAAATAGCCAGCTATAGCTGGAAAAAAATATAAATTCAAATTTAAGTATTATCCCCTTAAGTAAAACTTACTTATCATTTGACCGTGGTAATTACTAATGTCATCGAAATCAACAATTATAGCTTTATCTGTACTGATTACATCTTGAAAATTATGGTAACCTATATAATCTACTGTAGTGCTGTCCATAATTGTGATTTCAAAGGCGACAAATCCCTCCTCTTTTTTCACGTAGACTTGGCAATTTTTGGACATGCCTCCAGTAATGTGTAGAATCTGCACAAGAATTACATATATAATTAAATTATATCAGTGATAATACGGTTACAAACATTATTTATCTTCTTTAATTAAATTAATAAAACACTTACCCGATTGATTTTGATTTCAGCTTCATATTTTGCAACTACATTCCACACAACACAGGATACTTTTTTAGTACCATTGCTGAGCACAAACTTGAATAATTTAAATTCTAATTTGCGTCCCACGTCTCTAGGAGCAAAAATTTGATCAACGTAGCCAATTAGTTCACTGCAAAACACAAAATAATAATTATTTATATATTGATAATATAAATATTTGTTATGAAAAAAAATCTATACATACACTGTTTTATCTTTGTCGATGAAGTTTGTAAAAACTTCATCAGGAGAATATTCAACTTTTTCCAAATCCATCATTTTTTTTGTATAAAAGTAGATGTTGGTAAGAGAGATGTTTTGCATCAGAATCTATAATAGATTTAATTAAATGAGTATAATTTGATCAACTAAGTATCACAAAAAATATGCTCATCTTCAAAGTTATACATGTGTTCACAACCTTCAAAGTATACTAAACTAAATAATATTTTTTGTACTACTTTTGTCTATTATTAAAAAAATATTTTTTTATACGGAAATTATAGTTTTAATTTTAATTGTAAAAACGTGAAATTATGATACTGAAATAATCTTGATTTTAACACGTAGTAATAATACTGACATAACCTTGACTTTAACACGTGACATTTTTTTATAAAAAAGGATTAACACATTTCATTATTAACTTAAAAAATACATATTATTATGAAATAATTATAAATATTTGGTTGATTTCCGATGTTTAGAATATATTATTTAACAATAACTCTCACGGATTGAAATGGATATTATTTATTACTTACGAAAAAGTAGCTCCAGCTCTTCTAGGCTTAAGGACTCGCTTGCAGGGCACTACATAACCTTTTGACACTTATGACACTTATGAACGATAAACCGCATACAAACACCGCACTATCGCAATTTTCTAATCTCCTGACATCTATCGAATGAAAACTATGTAATGTATACATACAAATTAATTTACTGAAATTTACGACTTTAATATTTCAAATTATTGTAACGGGGGGATACACCTGCAAAAATGGGAAATTTATTTAAGAGCAAACTCCCACGATGCAGAGCAAACCGCCGCTCCGTTAACACGTATGTTAATACGTGTATTCGCCTTAACGTCAGCCGACTTAACTTGGTTGTCTTCGATCAAGCAGAGTTGAACTCACCTTAAGTCACGTGCCTTGTGACACACGATGAGTTTCAAGTGTAATCGACTTTGCTCCTAATACACTTAATCCCCTAGCTATGATCGGATTAAAACTTAAACCTATTTCAATTGTTTAATCTACCAGGAGAAATCATATGACGAAATCGGCGAATAATTTTAGTAGATTTTATTAATAAAAATTATTACAGTCTTTGTCGGGCCGAAAGACTGACGCACGCGAATAGGATTTACAATTAAATAATTTTCCGTGGGAAAGAGAGAGAGAGAGAGAGAGAGAAGATACGAAATTTGGCGCGCTCTAACGCTCGGCGCGAATACAAAGTTATTAACGCTAACGCGGCTAAACAAAATAATAACTATATTTTGACACGCGATAATAATGGGAGGTGCACCTACCCTGTGGTGCAATTACGGTGATCAGCCGTAATTGTTGATGCCAATAAAATGTATCAACTGCCTCCGGAACTGTTATCTCAGCTGCGCTGTCTCGTGCCGCCTATCAGCTGCAAATGCTGCAAATGCTGCTCCCGTGATGCTGTAATCTGCCGATCACGTTGTTGCACTCGCGCGTGTAATTACTCCTGGTAAAACTATCACTCGGCGAGAAAACAGTGCAAACCAAATTCGGCGGTATCCACACGTATCAACAGCTGAGACGTAACTGCTAATTTTAAAGATCGCGCGCCCCCTCTCTCTCTCTCAATTCTTAGAACTAACGCGCGAAATTCAGAATCGCGAACGGTTCGATTAATTGAATCGACTACCGTTGCAGCCCCCTCCAAGTCCTGACTACCCGGGCAGGACGAATACCCGCGATTCGCTGCCATCAGGAACCTGAAAGTAATAAAGAAGGAAAGGAAACAAAATAACACTTCCTTCTTTATTTCGGCTAATTTATTTGCCCTCCAGGGCCTACATCATTGTTTGGCTACACCTGGCGCGCGATGTTTCGGGTAGCGCCAGTGTGTAGCCTTCTTCGGGCACCGCTGGGAGTTGGTCACCCCAGGCTCTCCACAGATGTAGCAGCCCCTCAGCTGCGACCGAGATTGAGCAGCCTCCCGTCCTCGTGATGGCTGCTCAGCAGCCAGAGGGGACTGCTGGGCACTGACTCCCTGTGAGGCGACGATAGTCACGCCTCCCACCGTGGCGGTCGCACGTCCATCCTGCGATCTAACCACGATGGTGGTATCAGGAGCCATGCGCCCGTCCACATGGACCGTGAGCGTTGGTCCAGCGTCAGTAGCTCCCGGGGCTCTCTTCTCTTGAGCCGGCGCCGGGAGCGCTGCGGAGGACTCTTGTCCGTTATCCACCCGCAGCAGGGCCTCTCCATAGGCCCTCTGACGCTGAGCCATCCCTGCCCACTCCCCGAGCAGCTCTTCTGCGCCCTGGCGGCTCAAAAAGCGTCTCAGGTGCTCCTGCACCTGAGACTGGAGTCCTTGAGCGAACCGCCAGGCACTCCCCACCTCGTTGATCCCCAGACGCACGTGTCTGAAGTCGAGGAGGAGAGTAGGCTGCTCAGGGATCCGGGGATGATTGCAGACCCAGTGCGAGGCCCCACAGGTTTCCCTGGGTCCTGGGCATTGGCTCGCACTGTCCGACGTAAGGGTTACGCCGGACTTGAGGGTCTGCACCCCCTGGTCCACTGTAGACTTGGGACGTTCGACACTGTCCTGGTCCTCGGTCTGTGTCGAAGCGTCCCGAGAAGCCTTCTTCGGGGCGACCCACGACGAATCCCGGAGAACCTCTGCCACCGAGGCATTGCGCCGCTCCCTTCGGGTGGTCCCTTCCAACTGGACCCTGGCGAAGCTCCGCAGATCTTCAATTAGCTGCGTCGCATCAGAGCCCAGTTGCAGATCCAACAACATCTGCGTGACCACCTTGAAGGTCTCCTCTTCGATGACGATTCTCCGGTCCATCTGAAACATCCAAAAAACAACAAATTTCGGATGAATCTCCCTGCGCGAAGAAACAATCCTAATAATAGCCGCATCCCACCGAGTTATACGCTCCCTCGCGATTCTTTGTGGGAACGTCCTGGCCCTCGTCGGTTACCGCTCGGTTTTATCGGCCCAACCGTCCTTTGTACGACGGGCACGGTCCTTCGAGGCCTACCTCTCCCTCTAGTCACCTTCACGGGAGAGTTGTTGCCCCTCGCTGGACCGGTGACCGCCTCTGGAACCTTTCGAGGTCGACCTCGACCTCTCTTAGTTGGGGCAGATACCGGTAACTCCGACGTCTCGGTGGGAACTTTATCTACGACCGTGGGGGCTGCTAACTGGACCCGCTCGCTATCTGCTAAATCCCCTCCCGGGTTTTCGCGCGCATTCGCGGAGTCGTTCGCATCCTCCGACGGCAGTTCTTCTGGCGGCTCGCGAGGTTCGATGACCTCCTCGCTTTCCTCATCCTCACCCGGACCGTAATATGGTTTAAGGTCTTTGGCATGGAAGAGCTCAGACAAGATCTCCAGCTGATTACCTAGCCTGTACGTGTTGGAACCACAAACCTCTTCAATCACGTACGGGCCGGCATATTTCGGCGCTAATTTAGCTGAAATACCTTGAGCAGCTGAAGATAGAATCCTGTTCCTCTTCCAAACCCAATCTCCGACCTTAAACTCGGGTTGCCGTCTCTTCCGGTCATAATAAGCCGCCTGACGCGCAGCTTCCTCCTTTGACTTGGAGTTAGCTCTCTCCCACAAATTAGGAAGCTTCTCCATATGTTAAACCCAATCTTCCACAGCCTGACCCTCCGAACATTCAAGGGCCTGCTGATCTTGGGTTCTTCTGAACGTCAAAGGAGGTACCGGCTGACGCCCAAACATGAGCATCGCAGGACTATATCCGGTGGCGCTATGAGTTGCCGAGTTCAACGCGAAGTTGAACTCTGACAGGTGTTCATCCCAGCTCTTGTGATCACGGCTTACATAAGACGTGATCATGGTTTTGAGTGTCCTGTTTACTCGCTCTGTGGGATTCGCTTGGGGATGATACACGGGAGTTAAGGCGCGCTGGATGCCATTCATCTGGAGGTATGAATCAACCTCCTGATTCTTAAACTCGGTTCCATTATCCGATAAGAATACTTCTGGCGCACCAAACCTAGTGACAATCCTCTCGTGCAATTCCCTTGCGATTGTCTTCCCATTGGCCTTGCGTATCGCAACACACTCTACCCAGCGAGTAAACAAATCTATAAAGACTAAGATATACTCAAAACCTCGAGAGCTTTTAGGAAACGGACCAGTGATATCACCGGCCACCACCTGCCAGGGTCGTGACACTTGTCTACGACCCATCAGCCCGCAAGGTGCTCTTTGTTCCACCTTGCACTGCTGACATACCGGGCAACTCTTTACGTACTCCCTGACCTGATCATACATTTTAGGCCAGTAGTACAAGCGCCTAGCCCTGGAGAACGTACGCTCTCGTCCTTGATGTCCTGTTGTAGGAGCATCATGGACTTCTTGGAGCACCTGGTACCTTTTCTCCCTAGGTACCGCAAGCTTCCACGCTTCATCGTTGTCGATGGACCCTTCACCATCCTCATCAGGCTGATAATGATACAGTCTCCCTCCCACCACCTTCCAAGTGGGGTAAGAGTGTGGATCCTGGCATACTTCCTGGTATTGTTGCAAATACCAGGCGTCAGTGGTCTCCGGCCGACTATTTATAGCACTCACTTCAATCCCCTCCTCCTCATAGGCCCTAGATAAAGCGTCTGGCACCACATTGAGATCCCCCCTTCGATATTCGATATCGAAGACATTACCTTGCAATGCTAGCGCCCATCGCGCTAATCTTCCAGTGGGGTTTCTCATATTGTGGAGCCATTTCAGGCAACTATGATCGGTGACGACCCTGAAGTGATGCCCTTCAATATACGGCCGGAACTTTCCAATGGCCCATACTACTGCCAAGCACTCTTTCTCGGAGACCGTATAATTTCTCTCAGCACTGTTGAGTGATCGGCTGGCGTATTCTATTACGCGCTCCACTCCATCGACATCCTGTGCGAGAACTGCCCCGATCCCACTGTCACTAGCATCAGTTTGCAGTACAAACTGACCGTTCGGATCGGGCGATTGCAATATTGGGGCGGAAGTCATCGCCTCCTGCAATCTCGTGAAAGCTCGCTCTTGCTCCTCCTCCCAAGAGAAACGTACATTCTTCTTTGTCAGGCGGTTTATAGGTTCAGCGATCATGGCAAAGTCGGGTATAAAACGCCTATACCACGAGGTCATTCCCATGAATCGCTTCACCTGTTTGACAGTCCGGGGTGTTGGATATTCTAATATCGGGCGTATCTTCTCGGGATCTGGTCTTACTCCGTCCTGGTTGATAAGAACCCCCAAGTACCTGACTTCCGTCTTACAGAAGTGACTTTTCTCTTTGTTGATGGTTAGGCCCGCACCTAGAATTCTTTTTAATACCCTTTCTAGGTGCCGCTTATGCTCCTCAAAGGACGACGAAACCACAATTACGTCGTCAAGGTAAGCAAAAGCGAATGGATCCATATCCGGGCCTATTACCTTGTCCATCAACCTCTGGAAGGTCGCTCCCGCGTATGACAGTCCGAAGGGCATTCTCTTAAATTGAAAGTGCCCTAATCCAGGAACTGTAAACGCCGATATTGGACGCGATTCTTCCTTTAAGGGAATTT